TGCTGCATCTGCTGCTGCTGCTGCATCTGCTGCAGTTTGTTCTGCTGCTGCATCTGTAAACCCTGTCTCAGCTGCTGCTTCAGCAGCAGCAGCAGCAGCAGCAGCAGCAGCGGCAGCAGCAGCATCAGCAGCAGCAGCAGCAGCAGCACGTTGCTGCTGTTTGTGCATAAAAAAAATATAAACAGATAAATTAAATGATGATGCTAAACCCCAACCCTCTATACCACGTAAAGAGAAGGTGCCTATACACCCGAAAGTTTTATAATCTATTATATATATCTGCTGACCTCGCCAAGACAGCAGCAGCAGCAGCAGCCGCTGCAGTGCAGCAGCAAAATAAAAACCTACACCTTCTATGAAATCATCTTTGTTTATATAAAATACACGCAACAAAGAAACTGATACAGAAGAAGAGAGAGAAGCAGGAGAGACAGAAGGAGACAGAGAAGGAGACAGAGAAGAAGAAGAAAAAGGAGAAGAGAGAGAAGGAGAAGAGAGAGAAGGAGACAGAGAAGAAGAAGAGACAGAAGGAGAAGAGACAGAAGGAGAAGAGACAGAAGGAGAAGAGACAGAAGAAGAAGAAGAAGAAGATAAAGAAGAAGAAGAGACAGAAGAAGAAGAAGAAGATAAAGATAAAGAAGAGACAGAAGAAGAAGAGACAGAAGAAGAAGAGGAGACAGAAGAGGAGACAGAAGAAGAGACAGAAGAAGATAAAGAGGAGACAGAAGAAGGATGAAAGCCTTTAATATAAAATTCTCTTAGATAAGAGACCCCATACAAACCAGACGTCTGTAGTAAATAATGTACTTCTTCATCTGCTGCTGCTGCTGCTGCTGCTGCTGCTGCTGCTGCTGCTGCTGCATCTGCTGCTGCTTCTCTTGCTCGTGCTGCTGCTGCTGCTGCTGCTGATGCTCCTATTCCCGTTCTTGTTGCTTCTGCTGCAGCTGCTGCTGCTGCTGCTGCTGCTGCTTCTGCTGCTGCTGCTGCTGCTGCTGGAGGGGGCCCTGGTGCTGCTTGGAATCCTTGCACAAAGGGAGGCCGCCAATGTGGTGCGTTTCTGTCTCTAGCAGCAGCAGCAGCAGCAGCAGCAGCAGCAGCAGGATCAGCAGCAGCAGCAGCAGCAGCAGCAGCAGCA